CCCCAGTGTCCCCGGTGTCCCCATTCCTCCTGTCCCCCCCGGTGTCCCCAGTCCCCCCAGTCCCCCCGGTGTCCCCGTCCCACCTGCAGGCCGCCTCCTGCACGCGTTTGTTGCCGTCCAGGATGCGCTGCAGCAGCTCGGTCATGAGGGGCTTCAGGTAGAGCTCGGGGGGCTGCGCCACCACCCAGTGCGCGTAGCGGCTGAGCGTCCAGCAGGCGATGGAGCGCACCAGCGCCTTGCGGTCCGCCAGGCAGCGGATCAGGTGTGGGATCAGCTCGGGCAGGTACGGCACCATGCCCTGCATGCAGCCTGGGGATGGGATCAGGTGTGGGATCAGGTGTGGGATCAGCTCGGGCAGGTACGGCACCATGCCCTGCATGCAGCCTGCACAGGGATCAGGGATCAGGTGTGGGATCAGGTGTGGGATCAGCTCAGGCAGGTATGGCACCATGCCCTGCATGCAGCCTGTGAGATGGGATCAGGTGTGGGATCAGGTGTCGGATCAGCTCGGGACCGTAGGGCACCATGCCCTGCATGCAGCCTGGGGATGGCACAGGGATCAGGGATCAGGTGTGGGATCAGGTGTCGGATCAGCTCGGGACCGTAGGGCACCATGCCCTGCATGCAGGCTGCACAGGGATCAGGTGTGGGATCAGGTGCGGGATCAGCTCAGGCAGGTACGGCACCATGCCCTGCATGCAGCCTGGGGATGGCACAGGGATCAGGGATCAGGAGTGGGATCAGGTGTGGGATCAGCTCGGGCAGGTAGGGCACCATGCCCTGCATGCAGCCTGTGAGATGGCACAGGGATCAGGGATCAGGTGTGGGATCAGGTGTGGGATCAGGTGCGGGATCAGCTCAGGCAGGTACGGCACCATGCCCTGCATGCAGCCTGGGGATGGCACAGGGATCAGGGATCAGGTGTGGGATCAGGTGTGGGATCAGCTCGGGCAGGTAGGGCACCATGCCCTGCATGCACCCTGTGAGATGGCACAGGGATCAGGGATCAGGTGTGGGATCAGGTGTGGGATCAGGTGGGCTGTTTTTGGGGCTACCCAGGACTGGGATCTTCCCCCTCCAGGGCATTTTTGGGGTGCCCACCTTCAGCGACGGCCCCCAGCACCAGGATCCCCTGGATCAAGACAGGTTTGGGGCAGTGTTTGGGGTCCCCCCGTGCCCCGGGGTGTTTTTGGGGTGCCCACCTTCAGCAATAGCCCCCAGCACCAGGATCCCCTGGACTGGGATGACTTTGGGGCTGTGTTTGGGGTCCCCTGGTCCAGGATGGATTTGGAGCTGCATTTGGGGTCGCCTATCACAGCAATCCCCCCCGGGGTGTTTTTGGGGTGCCCACCTTCAGCGATGGCCCCCAGCACCAGGATCCCCTGGACTGGGATGACTTTGGGGCTGTGTTTGGGGTCCCCCCGTGCCCCGGGGTGTTTTTGGGGTGCCCACCTTCAGCGATGGCCCCCAGCACCAGGATCCCCGACTCCTTGACCACCCACTCGAGGTGGAAGAGCAGCTCCTTGAGCAGGGGCAGCAGGTGGGGCAGCAGCTCCTCCCGGAACACGTTGGCCAGCACGTCCAGCGCCGCCGCCGAGCACTTCCCTGGGGAGCCAGGGGTTAACGGGGCACCCCAAAACCCGCAGGGGCACCCTGAACCCACTGTGGCACCCCAAAACCTGCAGGGACACCCCCAAACCCACAGGGACGCCCAGAACACGTTGGCCAGCACGTCCAGCGCCACCGCCGAGCACTTCCCTGGGGAGCCAGGGGTTAACGGGGCACCCCAAACCCCATAGGGGCACCCCAAAACCTCCAAATCCACCCCAAACCCCTCAGAGCCCCCCCAGACCCCTCAGGGGGTTCCCTCAGACCCCTGAGAGCCCCCCAGACCCCTCAGAACCACCCCCAAACCCCCAGATTCACCCCAAAACCCCCACAGGGCGTTCCCCAAAACCCCTCAGAGCCCCCCAGACCCCTCAGGAGGACACCCCAAATCCCTCAGAGCCCCCTCAAGCCCCTCAGGGGGTCCCCCTAGACCCCTCAGGACCACCCCAAACCCCCCTCAGAGCCCTCCCAAACCCCTCAGAG